TGGTTTTCAAATCTTGCTCGACTGATTACAACCACCAACACTTTGAACCCGAATCTTCCTCTCACAATCCTCTGGTTACCGCTACTAAACCGATAGAACCTCCTGTTCTTCAATTACCTTCACTCGGCTAAATCTGTGATTGACCGATTCGTGCAAAAATCCCCTAAATTCAAGATTCTTGGAGGACAAAACCCTAACAGTTTTATTCAAGAAAAACCCATTGATTTCTCAACCCAAACTTGATTACACCAATCCTATGTTTGAATGTTATCACCTCAATAATGTAGAATGCACAACAAAAATGATTATGTATAGTTGTTGAGAAAATGCAAGAAAGAGGATGAAAATGATGAGAACAAAATTAGTGTCTATTTTCACTTTTCTTGCTATTGTCTGAAGAATGAGCCAACTCAATATATGTGCAAGTCAAAAAAAATTAACCAACTTAACAAACACTTTGACAGTTTAAAATAACAGAAATTTGATTAAAAACACGCGAGCGGTCGACCTATAGAAAGAGAAGGGTCAACCTGAGCTCTCCCGAATTTCAGATTGTACAAAAAACAACACTTTGCATCAACCAGAACAGGTCATGCGTCGATGCAAAGGATACAAATTTAGACAGACAGAAATGAACACAATATGAGTCGATTGGAGGGTCGACGCGAGCACTTCTGAGAGTAGATCATGCAAAATACCTTCTGCATGAGTCAACTGGAACATTCTTTGAGTCGACTCAAAGACACAGAATATGCAAAAATGCATATTTTCATGTATTTAGCTACTTTTAAGATACTCCACCATATTGCAAGCAAGACCAACATGATCAAACCTATATTGTACTTTTTCTATATGTATCTAAAAAACTTTTTGACCGATGTTTGACGCAAGAGGAATAAGGTATGCATATGCGACACAATGATACCGTCCAAAGTATAGTTTTCTATGTAAGTTTTAACATCATTAAAACAAGTATAGCTAACTATGCGAAACTTTTCCCTCACATACTCCCCCTTTTTTATGATGGCAAAACAATAGGAACTTGGTGTACAATGCATTGTATCTTCCTCCCCTTTACTCGATGCATTTCTCTGCACACAATCTGCATGTTCAATAAGTCTTACAAGTAATGTTTCTGCTTAATATTCTTCTCCCTCTTTGACAACATCAAAAATAAAGAAGATCGAGGTTAATGTATTGCATATTATAAGAGAGATAAGCAAATTCAACCCATTTGCAACAGGTTAGACATCAACACACATTCACACATAATGCAGTCAATGAAAGCATATAAATGGATAAATAGAAAGACACTCAAAAGAACATAAATTTTCACCATTTCATAACAAACAGTAATCATGTCTTCATAAAGAAAGTAAATACAAGAATAATTCTATAATAGAGGTTAATGAACACAAGATAAAATGATATGCACAATGAAATGTTCAAGACAACCTCAAGGTCTTCTCCTCCTCGATAGGAATATTCTGGAAGTGGAGATAGTTGCATATCAGCCTGTTCTGTATACTCCAAAACAGCTCGACTGAGAGTGTTGAAGCTGTTAGTGAGAGCCTGATGTTGGCCTGATGCAGTTTCAACTATGCCATCTATCCTATCCATCACAGTCGATGTAAAGGAATTAAAGTTTTCTGTGTGAGTTTGAAACTGGTTTTGCAATTGCGAGAACCGCTCATCTTAGGCAGACATAAAGGTATGTTGTTCAAGCTGCATGCTCCTTATCATATCGAGGAGTTCATTGGTGTTTTGTTGGGGACGCGGAGGAGATGGAGGCACATAACTCCAGTTTGGGGTGTCTTGATGATCCGAATTTGATGCTTGTGGCATGTGATTATCCGATAAACGAAATTAAATCCATTTTCCTAAACACTTAGATGAAAATAAGAGAGAGCCAAGTCTTTGACTCGCTCTCCCGATTACTTGGGCCCGATGAGCCTTTTTTAAGCCTCGAGTAATTGTCATCCGAACTAATTTACTCTAATTACATCAAAGATCTTTCATAACATAAGATGAAAAGAGAGGGAATCGAGCCTTTGACTCATTCTTGATTACTTGGACCCGAGGAGCCTTTCTTAAGCTTCAAGTAATCCTCATCCGTTTAAAATACTTTAATCATCTTCCATACTTCAAAATTCTTTTCCTACATAACTTTTTCTCTAGATGAAAAAGAGAGAGTGTCAAGCCTTTGATTCATTCTCCTGATTACTTGGGCCCGAGAAGCCTTTCTTAAGCTTTGAGTAATCGTCATCCAGCTAACTTACTCGAACCATATCCATTTCCTTTGCAATTGAGATGAAAAAGAAAAAGAGTCAAGTCTTTGACTCACTCTCCCGATTATTTAAGCCCGAGAAGTCTTTCTTAAGCTTCAAGTAATCATCATCCAATTATATACGTCAACACATTAAATTCAACTTATCGCCACCGTGTGAATCGTCAAACCTTTTTTCAATAAACGCGAGATATGGTGTCTTGAGACAACGTAAATTATTGCTTCGTTCGTAACCTATTTGAGTTGAGATAAGTGGCATGTTTCCCGTGAATATCGATATATGGAAATCCATTCAAAGCGATGCAAGCGCCCTCTCCTCGCCCGTTTGGGTAAAGCAATATTTTATGTCAAATATGACTAAATATCTTTCGATAAAATCAAACTAACATTCGTATTCCGAACTACAGACGCTCTGATTTCTCATTTATCAATGAGAATACGCAGGCATAGGATTGCGAGATCCTAGCGAGCAACCTTTTTCTTTTTCAACTACCTTTTCTTTTTTTTTTCTCCCGTAGTTGTCACACCCTCATTTTCACCTTTAGTCTTTCATACCCTACACTTGTCATATCATACATTGTTCTATTGCATGTCGAGCAAGTGGGTTCACGAGGTAAGAATTGGGTCGGTTCATTATTGTTCATTTCAAATAAGAAAATTTTCTTATCATGGGCTACATGGAAGAAAAGTTTCATCATCTAAGGTTTGATCTAAATTGGAAGGTCTACTCATGAAGATTCCTTCAAGAAGAAGTTATCTGAAAAATATTGGAATATTCAAGATAAATATTCTTAATGAGCATGAAATGTAAGGCCAAATTCAAGACATTTTCATCCATGTTTGTTTCTATGGTCAAGTGGAGTTCAAATTTGCAAAGCATGAGTTAAGATCACAAGTGCATAGTTCAAGACTCCATTCACTTCAAGTTCAATGGTATAAGGGAAATCCATCATTCAAAGTTCAAGATTCATTTCAGTTGCCTCCTTGGCGCTCTTATCAGGGTCAACACCCAAATGGGAGACCATTATATAAATGACTTCCTCTCGCACAATCCTCTCGTGGTCCAGTCATCTCCCCTTAATGGGAAAATGCAACAGGCATGAGACGTCATTCAATGTGATGACCATCTCGCCTATAAGAAGGTGGAAATATGACGTCTCCGAATGTCATCTCTCAGCAAAAGGCGCATGCATGTTTATGGTCATGTACGCAGAAGAACATAAACCGACAAGACCAAAATAAAAGATAACATATTGAAACCAATCAGCAACTGGCTGGCCTAACTCCATTATCTTCCTGCTGTGGTTTACCGATTGCAAACAGCAACACTCATGTCAAAAGAAAATATCACCATCAACATTGATTTAATTAGTTAAAAACATATGAATTTTAAAAGAAAATAAATATACCTCTCATTCCCATACATGTCTAGAAATATGGTCGACATATAAATGAAGTAAGAAGGTGTCAAATAGACCTCCTGCGTAACTCTCTAAAAGAGCATTGGTAGCAGCTTCCTCTGGGTTGTGAAGTCGATGCATCATCAAACAAGTTATTGGCAACTCGTGGCCTCGTGGTCTTCACTACGAACCTCTCACGTCATACCGACGCAGTCTAGGACACACACCCGAGCCAAATTCTGCCAATTTTATTTTCAGTCGTTGCACTTGCGTTATAAACAAAGATAAATATAAACAACATGATAGGATAAATTCACAAATTCCACGAAATTAACCAAAATTTTGCTTGAGTCCAATCCAGAGATGTATCTCCGAAAATAATGCAGACCAAATTTGAAGATGCATCTCCGAACAAACCTGCGATATTCTCAGCCATGGAAGATACTTAATTTCTACCATAATAGTCCAAAAATACCTCAATCCATGTTCTTCTAACCTACCAAAATCATTTACACTACTATCTAATATGCCTAAAACAACCAATGTAAATTAAATAACTAACTACAAATTAAAACATAAAAAGAGATATAATTTTTAAAAACTTACCAAATAAATTGAATGTATGAATTATTAGATGCTTAAAAGGAGGAGTTAGAGCTTCATCGGTAGAAGTTTTCTACAAATAGCAGTTTGAATGTGACAGAGAGAAGAGAATTTTTTGGTGTGCAGAAAATGAACAAGAAGGAAGTGGGAAAGGTAGTCTGGCGCGAGATATGAAACAAAAGTTTCTGAAGATGTATCTCTGGATCACCCACTAACTTTTGAATAAATGGTATTTATGCATGCGAAGATACATCTTTGGACGAATTTTTTACGCATATGGAGATGCATCTCCAAATTAATTTTTGGTACAATGAGGATACATCTTCAATTTAGTCTGAAAAATAGATAAAATAGATGCGTTTGAAGATGCATATCTGAATTTTACGGATTATCTAGACTTTTCATGACAGTGTGAGATGATACATGAGGGTGGAAAGAGCAACTCCCAAATTCTAGTGTTTTGGGTTAACGTGGTTATTTAAGGCCCGTTATCAAAAGCTTGGGCCGTTATTTACCCACCAACTCATGAATAGTACGTATCACCCTCCTCAGGGGGGCAGAAGTAAAAGTTGAGGCGTTGAAAGTAATTTCTTCTCAAACTATCGTTCATTCCCTAGTTTCAAAACCCTACTGAACTTATCTCCCTCAGATTTCACAATCGTTCAAGCGCCGCCGCACCGTAACTCGACCTCTCTCCGTCAACCGCAATCATGGCGACAAACTCCGGCACCGCCCCGCCACGTCAACTCTCCCAGAAAGAATCCGACATCCAGTTGATGCTGGCAGCGGACGTCCATCTCGGCACCAAAAACTGCGATTTTCAAATGGAGCGCTACATCTTCAAGCGCCGCAACGATGGTAAACAAATCAAATCACCATGTTTGAAAATTTTCCAATTGTTTTTGTTGCATATTTTTAGTTTGTATGTGTTAATTTAGGTATTTATATTATAAACCTTGGAAAGACATGGGAGAAGCTTCAACTTGCTGCGAGGGTTATTGTTGCAATTGAGAACCCTCAAGACATTATTGTTCAATCTGCTAGACCGTATGGACAGAGAGCTGTTCTCAAATTTGCTCAGTATACTGGTGCTCATGCTATAGCTGGAAGACACACTCCTGGAACTTTCACCAATCAGCTTCAAACTTCATTCAGTGAGCCTCGTCTTCTCATCCTCACTGATCCAAGAACTGATCATCAGGTTTGTTCATTCGTTGTTTTTTGTGGGATAAATTAATCTTAATTTTGTCGCTTCCATTATGACACTAGGGTCTAAATTTACTGTTTCTCATATGCTATTGCAGAAACTTAATATGTTTATAAGATATTTTAGGGACTAATTTGATGAGGGAGTGATAGTTTATGGGATTAAATGGATGGGTTTATTAATTTTTTTGTGCATTGCCCTCTGAGTTTTTTAGTTTTAGTTTTGTCTATCAATGTTTTTATAATGATAAGTTTGTGTGCAGCCAATTAAAGAAGCAGCTCTTGGGAATATTCCCACAATTGCTTTCTGTGACACTGATTCTCCTATGCGATATGTTGACATTGGAATTCCTGCCAACAACAAAGGGAAGCATAGCATAGGTTGTCTCTTTTGGCTTTTGGCTAGGATGGTGTTGCAGATGCGTGGTACAATTCGCCCCGGTCTTAAATGGGATGTCATGGTAAACTGTTTTTTTGCATTGTGTAATTGTTGAATGAATGAATAGTACATTCTTCTGTCCATTCAGTTGAGTTGGCAGGTTTTGATTTTCTGATGTTTTTTTTTTGATGCAGGTTGATCTATTCTTCTATAGAGAACCAGAGGAGGCTAAGCAGGAAGAGGAGGATGAAGTTCCTGCTCCAGAGTATGCCATTGCTGACTTCAATGCAGCTGCTAACCCCATTGATGGTCAGTGGCCTGCTGCAATCGATCAGTCATGGTCTGATGCTACTCCACAACCTATTCCAGCAGTTCCTGCTGTCAACTGGGCAGCCCCAGAAGCTGGTACATGATTATGTGCTGCTGTAAAAACATTTAGAATAAGCTATAAATTTCTGTACAACTTTGATATCCCTTGATCTCAAATTTTCTTTAGAGCTGTTATTGACATTTGCTAAATTGATTTTTACTGTACTATGCCAACATTTAGTTCGTTCACTTGTTTATTAATTCTCTATTCAAGGTTTTTCAGGGAATAAAATTGATGTAGCATGTGTGGTTTATTTAATATTTTTCAGAATGGTTCATGTTTTGCTGATGTACAGTTATCTTGCAGTTGCAGGGGACTGGGTTGAAGCTGTTCCACCACCACAACAAACATCCGTTCCCGGAGTTGAAGCTATCCAAGCAACTGGCTGGGAATGATCTAGTAGTTTTTATATTATGGCAATTTATTTTTACCCCTTCCTTCCTCCTAAGTAACAGTGGTCCAGTTTTGTGGTAGCTAAAGAGATCTTTCTTGTTTGGAATGAGAGTGGCAGAAATGTTGTTTAGCATCTGGGATATTTCTATAAGTTGTAATTTTTATTGTTGTCATTTATAAATTTAAAATTTTGAATGTGTTGTCATTTTCCCCCTCCTTGTTCTTGGTTTATATTTAGCTTGTAATCCATCAAGAGTATGTTTTTGAACTCACATACATGTTCTAGTATACATATATGAATTCTGGAATTGATTTCAACCTTGGTTGGGCACATCTCTTTGTGGGTTGTGTTTTTTTAGAAAGTTCAACTAAATAAATGCAACAAGAAAATCACCAAAGGAGGAGCCACTGAGTTATTGAGGGAGAGGTTCCCTAGGATAGCTCTCGGTTTGCAGTGCCATGTGCTGGGCAGAATAGTCTCTGCTTGATACTGTGTCATTTTCTCCTTCCTCAATCGGTTCTAAGTCTAAGTACTGCAGCATGCACAAAATTCATCCTCTGAATTTGCACTAGTATCAATACAGAAGGTTATAATGTATTGCTTTTATGGTTCTGTTAATTTATTCTTATACAGGTCATAAAAGCCTTTTCTATTAGAATCTGTTTATGTGTATTCATCTTAAGCAGAAGTATATTCATTCATATTTATCTATAATATTCTATTTCTTTTAAAAAATTATATACAACCTCTAAATCATTAAGACCCGATCAGTGGTTATAAGTTATAAAAAATTTTAAACTACAATTAGTTTTAGTTGAAAATTTACCAATTAAATCAGTAGAGAACAAGGCTAGAAAAAAATTTCAATATCTATAGATAGCTTGCGATTTTTCTAACTAGAGTCAAGATATTTGAAAAGAACCTTACTAATTTCACAATTAAGCCTATTGTATCCTTCAACCACGAGTTTAAAATGTTCATTCATTCTGATAAACTTTTGTGGAAGTTAACTTTAAAGCCTAACATAAGATCTAAAAGAATTAGGTTGACTTTAATAGCTTTTATGTTAGTGAATAAAATTTCTCAACCAAATGCTATTAGACACCAACCCATAGAAAAAAAAAAATTCTTATTCCATCTTATAGGATGGAAAAATACTCTATGAAAAGCTCAAACTGTCTCTTAGATTTCAGAGATGAATCTTCGGATGCACTCTTATCTTAAGTAAAAATGTTATAATTGATCTGAAGATGCATCTCCAAAATATTTCAAAACACACCCTATGCGTTCCTCTCTGAAAGACTCATTTTAAACATTTACTGATCTAAAGATGCATCTCCGTAACCAGTCAAAACAATGCAAGTTAAGTTAGTTTTATGGTTACTCAGATGAAAATGATGATTTATAAATGTAAAATTCCCTGTTATGTGATGAGCATTAAATCATACAATCGATATGCAAAAAAATGACATATGAATATGGAGTTAAAATAAGTCATTATGACATACACAATAAATTCAAAATTAACAATGAAGTCGAAATAATTAAAAATAAAATACAACCGAACATAAATTCAAACTTTAAATATTATCAACTACTATGTATGCTGAACTCGAGCTCCTCGGGCTCCTCAGCCTCCTCTACCCTCGTGCTCTAACGATGTCTCCAGTACACCAGTGTCTTTCGTGCCTCCATCATGATGGCATCTAAGACATCCCTCACCTTAGAACCATAAAAAAGATAAATTTGTCAATATTTGTCTACGCAATCTCCATAATACGATGATATCTAGGCAACACATCATGAGCATGATCTAACCTAAAGCAGCATGCACCATATATGGACGTGACACTTTGAATAACCACCTGATGTACTCGTCTTCATAGCTTCAATGGCTCTTAGCTATGGTACTCCGTGCCTCCTCAGTACCACATAACTAAAATAACCATCAAACACGGCATCCATATCTCTAGGTGTTATAGCGAGAGGAGCAGAGATAACAGGTTGTCTAGGAAATGTCTGGGTGTAGCCGAACTGCTGTATGATGAACTCAGGCTGATGAGGAAATATCAGAAGTGAACCGCAAGTCAACCATTGTTGAACCTCGAAAAATCAAAATACGACCCTCGCGCAAAAGGCGCAGAAAACGGTTCGACAAAGTCGCCATCGAACTTTATTTATCCCAGAAGAGGGAAAGGAAAATATCGAGAAAATATTTAAGAGATAAGAACATGGTCATTACAACCACATTCTGGGTTCGGGAGTCGGTTACGTAAAAGGAATGTATTAGCACCCCCTACGTCCGTTGTACTTAACGGGAACCTCTTAGTTCGATTTGTGATGAACGTTAGTTAAGCCTATTTGTTTTCTTCTAAGCGATTAATGCGAAAAGGGTACGATAACATGTTTCGATAGATAGGGGAAAATGAGTGGTTTTTAGGTTAGGGTGCTCGCCAAGGATGATGGACCTAGCACCAAAAGGATGATAGAGAACACACACAGGATTTTGACACGAAAAGGATGCTAAATCTATCACCAAAAGGATGATAGTGAACACACACGCAACGACCCTTCACCAAAAGGATGAAGGTGAGGTCACAACTTACTACTACCAAAAGGATAAGAGTAAGCAAGACGATATCAATGGTTGTCATTCACTAAAAGGATGATACACAGGCCAATGGTTCACGAATCGCCGACACCAAAAGGATGACGGTAAGATCAAACAACACAAGTTGCTACCACCAAAAAGATGATAGAAACTCTCCCATTTTGAGAGTTACCAACACCAAAAGGATGTAGGTTAAATTGAAACAACATGAATGGCTACCGCCAAAAGGATGATAGTAAATTTCCGGTTTTGAGAATTGCCAACACCAAAAGGATGAAGGCCAAGTTGAATTGACAGGATTTGGCTACCACCAAAAGGATGATAGTGAGGATTCATTGACAAAAGGCCAGGTTTGTTAGGTATATGCTGAGTAAGATTCGTTGGAGACATCAACAAAAGGTTGAAGCAAAGCAGACACTGAGGAATACCATCCTTGTCACCAAAAGGTTGAAAGGAACTAACTCACCAGGGAACACCCAAGAAAGAGGTTGAATTTTGTTTGGAGAAGAACCACTGACTAGTTTGAGGATAACAACTTCATCAACAAAAGTTTGAAGAGACACAAATCAATAGGGAATGCCCAATAACTCAAGGAAATGCTACTGGTTGAGCTAGGGATGACCACTTCATCAACAAAAGGTTGAGGAGAAAAACTCAATGAGGAACACCCACTGACTTGCTTAGAGATCACCGCTTCATCAACAAAAGGTTGAAGCAATTCCATGAGGAACGCCCACAGATTTGAAGAGGATGGCCTTGTTTGGGATGAAAATTATCTTGAGGTTGATCAACAAAAGGTTGAAACAACTTTGTGAGAAACACTCACGGATTTGATGAAGATGCCCCTGCCTAGGCTGAAGATCACTTTGAAATCTTGTCTTGATCAACAAAAGGTTGATACAACTTCGTGAGGAACACCCACAAATTTGAAGAAGATTCCCCTGGCTGGGCTGAAGATCTTGGAATCTTATCTTGATCAACAAAAGGTTGATGCAACTTCTTAAGAAACGCCCACAGATTTGAAGAAGATGCCCCTGGCTGGGCTGAAGATCTTGGAATCTCGAGATTGATCCTGGACCTTAATCTATGCACGTAAGAATGCTTGATTTTGTAATGATGTTTCATATTGAATTAAAATGCAATGCAAATGCTGACACACGAAGATGGAAATGCTGGGGAAGCGTGATTTGGTCTTTGTATGCATATGATGCACATGATGCTCAATGTGATGCATATGATTGCAGATGGGTGATTGGATATGTTGGTGAAGGTGCCAACATGGTTGACTTTTGAGTTGTTGCAAATGCGGATTGGACTTTGGGTGGTGGGAGGGTTTGATTTCCTCGACACTCAGTTTATTGAAGACACCATGAAGTAGACAAAAATGCTCTAGATGTTCCATGTATGATCACTTGATCATAAGCTATGGTGTTTGATTCTGAGAGAACTACAACTCTGATACACAATGGTCAGGATGGCCTGAAAATGAACGTAGCGACATGATCAATTCATGAAGACTGTGCTCTTTCTCTGTACTTGATGATTGATATCTTCTAGCAAGGTTTGCTTGTCCAAGTTGAAGATACAGAGAGAATCTGCCCCTGCAACTGGCTTTGCCCTAGTGTCTGAATATGGAAATGGTCTGCCTCTGATTAACCAGTTCTGACATAGTCTAATCTTTGGAAGTTGAAGCTTTGATGTGCCTTGATATGGCTTGCCCCTGATCGAGTTGTTGAATGCTTTGCCCCTGATTGAGGGTTATGAGGTAGTCTTGATCCGAGTCAACACCACTGAGAGTTCAAGTTTATTCTTTGACTACCCTTTGTTGGAGTTGCTTTGATGTCAAGCACTGATATGCAGTTAAAATTGTTCATTCACATATGGTTAATGCAATGCTCGTGCAAGTTTTGAAAAAGAGTCATTTATTGAAGTGTCATAATAGTGAGAGACGAATGAACTATTAGTCCAGACGTTGTGCTGATTTTGCTAGTGGGTGAAAGATATAGCAAGGAGACTGACACCAATGCTGATGATTAGCAAATATGTGGGGAGTCAATTTATGCAATCTTGCAATAGTATGATTTCAGAATAAACCTCTCCTTAATTAGGTCTTTCTAGGGTTGTAACACGGTCTAATTCATGGTTATGAAACAAAGGATATTAGGCTCAAAAATCAGTTTGTACCCACCCCTTCTTCACGATGATCTCCAGTCCTATATTCAGTTAATTATGCATATGATTGTCTTCCAAAAGGGTTGACGGTGTAAAGTGATGATTCAAGGTTTGCTAGAAATGGCAGTCACCTTATTTTGCTTTTGACGATGTTAGTGACCCTTTTGATTTTGATACAGTGGTCACTGAATTTTGTTTTTGTTGAGGGTTTGAGGACC